TATATGATTTTCAGAATTTCACAGCCATTAGCCTCCAACCTTAAATCAGGACTCCTATCAAACTTTCCTGGGTCAATGCCATGACAGAAGTTCATATAATCTGTCCAGAGCAGGAGACTGACTAATTTCAAACCCTGAACTAACTTGTGGTTACTGAGAATCTGGGCGGGGAAAGAGGAGAGAAAAATCAGAGACATGTCCCAACACCAGCAGGGAGATTTCATCTGGATTTCCCCCAAATGTGAGATTATTCAGAAATAATTCCAGAGGCTTCTTTCCTGCCATCCTGCCAGAGCACAGGTGCAAATGTTTTGAATAGCCTGAATGGATAACTTATTTATGCAAATGAGTATTTTGCATAGTCCCTGTAGATGTGCCTGTCTACTCTCTGATATCACTTTCAGGAGGTTTTTAAGATGCATTTGGTTCAAGGGCATGAACAGTCTTAGCTTTATCTGGAAGACACTTTAGGGGTGGCTATCTCTGTGGTCACTCTGACATGCCCTAAGCCACTTGTAAAGAAAGGTGGCCACCGGGCAGTGACCCACTTTCACAGCTAGGCTTCCTTAATGCTATCAGTCTTTGCTGCTCTCAGCATCACAGCCCCCCTGCTGTTCCTCAATTCTGGGTCCAGAGTCTCACTTGGCATTTAGCCTGTCCAGTGCCACCAAGCCTGGTGAGCAGCAGGGTGACCTTTGTGTCCTGGGCAAGACAAAATCACTACTTTTGTAGTGGATTTTCCCCTCAATTTTTATTCTGAATGTTTAGCTTTTTTCAGTATTTGACATTGAACTATAGGGACTGAAGACTGACCTGTAAGATCCGAACCTGTCTTCACATCTAGGCTTTTTCATTTTGGCTTCCCAGTTTTGTTTTGCTCTTCTATTCATTCACTTATTTTTTATTTTTTTTAATTTTTTTGAGACAAGGTCTCACTCTGTAACCTGGGCTAAGCATATTCAGCTCATATGCTGTGGCCATCCCTTAATTGATTTTATATTTAGGGTTCTATGACAGTGGGAAGGGCGATCTTATGCAAAACATAACATGTGAAAACAACGGCTAATTGTACAACGGGGTGACTGTAGTTAAAAACAATGCATTATGTGTTTGAAAACTGCTGAGAACAGATGACAAGTGTTCTCACTGTCCAAAAATGCTAAGTATGTGTGGTAATGCATATGTTAGTTTGGTTTATTCATCCCACAAGATATACATGTATCAGAACGTCATGTTGTAAAACTTAGATATATATTATACAATTTTAATTTGTCAATTATAAAAAGAATAGCACAGAAAGTAGAAAAAGTCTGCTATAATTATGAAAAGTGTTTCTCTGTACAGAAAAGAAAATACTGGCCAGAGAAATTTGTCTGGCAGGGGCCAACTTTTGCTTGGTCTTATGGGCTTTTCTGAGACTGAGAACTGAACCTCAGAGGCTCAAAGTAGTTTGATTCAAGAACAAGAGTGCCTGTCCCAGCAGTGGAGTTTTCGCTAAGTTGGGACAGGGTTTGAAGCTCTTCACAGGGAAAGATAAAACAAGAATGTACTGTAGATGAGACAAGGCAGGGAACACTATGCTAGGCAAAATGGAGGGACCCTGAGTAATATTTTGTGTGTGGGGCAGTTTCCTTTGCTGTTTAAGTATGACTGGGGACATAATCAAATGGTGGAGAAAGTCTCTCTCTCTCTCTCTCTCTGTGTGTGTGTAGGTGTGTGTGTGTGTAGGTGTGTGTGTGTGTGTGTGTCAGTATGTCTATCTCCCTCTTATCACACTGAGCCCTTTACCACTGGGTGCCCCCACCCTGTTGCTTTTCACCATAGCAGTTCAGAGGTTTTGCTCAGTCTGTGGGTGCCCAGATGTGAGGACAATAGCCACAGAGTGTTCCATAGGACAACTGTTGACCTGTGACCTCCCAAAGAAACTGAAATGCCATTTTCATTGCCTATGAGCTATCTCAGAGTACAGGAATATACTCTAGAATCTAATCATTAACATTCAAAATTTAAGGAGGATAGTATAAGGCAAGATATGTATGAACCTTAGTTCTTTATTTAACTATAGCCAAGAAAATGATTGACTTTCTGTCCCCTGTGAATTTTACAGGATCAGAAAGAGAGACAGATAGAGTTTCTTATTCCTATTCAGGAATATTGTATTAATATTTTTGTTGTGTCTCTTATTACATAGCTGTCCCACTTTGCCCTGGAGTAGATCTATATCATCAGCAGACAGAGAGAGACAGAAATGTACACAAACACACGTTTGCTTTCAAAGATAAATATAGGCTTCTAGTTAGGAACTGATGTGTAAATCAAGAGAGCATCTGCCTTTGTGCACAGCAAGGACATCACTGTCATTTGTCTGTAATGACATCAGGGCTTTGTCTGAGACTTGGACCCCTTAGGGCTTGATAATCTCAGAGAGGCTCTTTGTCTTGGTATGAGCTTAGCAGTTAGGTCTCTTTGCTTCCTTGATTTTGTGATATGGATCTTTTAGTAGACAAACCAACTAACTCAGGAACTCCATGCCACTTCAAATAGTCCTGTCTGTCTGCCCACGCCGTTTGTGTGTGTGTGTATGGTATGTATGTGCATATACACACGTGCAGACAGAGGCCAGAGCTTGATATTTCTTCCATCACTCTCCAGCTAGTTTTGAGACAGGGATTCTCACTGTTTCAGCAAGACTAGTCTGTCAAAAAGTCAGGGAACCCCTTGTTACCGCATCGCTAATGCTAGGATAGCAGGAGCATAAATGTCACGCCTGGCTTTTTCACCTGGGTGCTGGGTATTCAAGCTAACGCTCTCATGCATGTGTAGTAGGCACCTTATTGAGACCTCCCCCTCAGGACTTGTTGCAGGTTCCGTGTCTTTGCATGAGCCTGAGGCTGGGACAGAGCCTGTGCAGAAGTCAAGGCAGGCTTCTACTCAGAGGGTCTGTGTCTCTAGACTGCATTCCAGGTCCTGGTATCACCTTGAGTTTTACTTTGCCACAGTACTCTATTTCCTCCTTATCTGTCTCCTAGAATCTGAGAAACAGAATGAATGGTAGAAGTCTGATGATCTTAACACTCTTCCTGCTTCCCTTTCAGGGACCTATTCTATATCTGTGTAAAGTATCTCCTCTGTTTGATGTTTCCATAGTTACTATTTAAAACTTATTATGGGGTTTACTGCTATCTATATATCTATCTATCATCCATCCTTCTATCTACCTATCATCTATCTATCCATCCACCCACCCATCTGTCTGTCTATCTATCTATCTATCTATCTATCTATCTATCTATCATCTGTCATTCAATTATCTGTTTACCTATCTATCAGCATTATCTTGTTGAAGTTGACTATCAGACAAATGGTCTCTGATTTGTATTTCTCCATAGATTCATGCCTGAGAATCAGTTCTCTCTCCCTTGCTTCCCGCCCCCTCCTGAGAAGGGACACATTGTTTTGGCTATTGTTTTTCTTCTAGGAGGGTCAGCTCAGTCCCAAGTAAAGAAAACAATCCATATGTAATAGGGCCTGCTAATTATCAGACTTTGTTAGGTGCTTCACATATATAAACCTTCACAGTGGCTGTGGTTATAAGGTGACATCGTTTTGTCTTCTTACACCTTCACTAATGCCCCAGGTTGACATTTCTCAGGAGTGTCCATCTACCTGCTTAAAAGAAGAGCAGAGCTAGAAATAGACTGCCTCATCTTGAAATCAAAGTGCCTGTAACTAAAGGTGGCTGGCCCTAGCCTAGGATTCACACCACTTTAGGCATTTGCATATGATATTTGTACCTCAGGACTATATACCACCTCCTTACCCCTTACCACTCCCGTTATTTTCAGCCAAGGTCAGGCAAGAATGTGGAGCAAGGCTGCTTTCCCAGGAGCCCTCCCTTCCCCCATCTGCCTCCCCCTGCAAACACCCGGTGGTGGGTGGAGTTAGAGCTGCTCCTGATTCATCTCCTCAACAAAACTCCAGCCAGCTGTTCCCTGGGGCCTAGCTCTCAGATCTGGAGCTGATAAACTAATTGGGGCTAATGTGATAATGGGCAATGATGACATTTACTGTTTTTATCAGGCCCAGGGCATACATTTGCATGTTAACAGGGCCTTTGGCAGGTAGACAGAGTTGAACTGGAGGGGAGGTGGGTTTATTTGCTGGAGGTTACACAAGCAGAGGGGCTTTACAGACCTACCCCAAAATGTACCACATTAAGGACCCCAATTCCTCCTTTAAAGTCCTACTTTCTTCCAAGACCCCTCCAAAATCACCCCTGCTCCACCAGGGTCTTTTGCACCTGAAAATTCTCTACACACATTGCTTAAATCAAGCAAACACGCACATGGGAATTCTGGGACTGTCTGGCTCCTCATCCCCGTTAGCAGTACAATAACCATTGGGGGTCTGTTCCTTTCACAAGCCTTTGTTTATATATTTCTTTTTCACAGAAGGAACCTCTGGGTTGTGATCACAAAATTGTTATATCTTTGCCAAAACTCCCTCCTGTCTCCTGAAAGAGAGGGAGAAGGCTCTGAGAGCTCAAGAATCCTGCCTGGATGCTTTGCTCACAGAAGGCTGGTGTCCAGGAAGACCCAAGGAGAAAGTTAATGGTTAGGGGATTGTATTTTTCCTGGCCAGGGCACTCGCTCACCTGTGCAGGTGGAGAAACATTTGGGACCCAGTGAAGCAAGGATAGGAAACTCCCTGCACAGCCAGGCTGGGGGGATGGGGTCTATGATATCAGAAGATCTCAGCAGTTCACGTCTTGCTCAGACTCTGTTGGCATTTTAGTTTTCTTTTTTTTTTTTTTTTCTTGATCCTATAGAGAGGTTTAATAAACAGGAAAAAAGCGTCTCCAAAGTGTGGAGGGAAGTGAAGACGATCTTGTCAACCAGCCCCTGCCGTGTCGAGCCTGATAGGCTGATCACTGCCCTTAGACATCTCATAGTGGACCCTTCCAGGACCATCCCCTTCTAATTTTCCTCTGAGACACTTACCTGGGCTGGAGGAAAAGCCTGTTCAAAGTCCTCTGAAACTGTCAAGAGTTACTACAAAGAGCCGGTCATGCTGCCCAGAGAGAGAATGGGCTAAAAGCACCTTCCATGCTTGGTACCTGCACGGCCAGGGCAAAGGTCTTGATGCCAAAGCGGAGAGGACTAAACACAGGTTAGAAAAGGAGACAGATGTTCAACAGCACCTCCATAGCCCTCTGCCTTCATCTGCCCGACAGAGACTTGGGTTTTTATACCCCCCTTCCTGGCGGCTTTGGGGGCTGAGGTGCTTTTCACCTGAAACTGCCTCCAAGCTGAAGAGCACAGTCACCAACCACCGAATCAATTCCTCATCCATTAACAGGTTGTCTCTGTTCTTGAGACACAGTCATAACCTGGTTAGACCTGTTTTGTTTGAACACTAACGTGTGAGTTGGCCAAATGCAAATGAGCCAATGTTTGTAATCCTTTATTTTATTTTTTTAAAGGGCCGGGCAGCCAATCAGAGGAGGGGGAAGTGACTTAGGGAATTCCCGGTTGGTGGCTTATTGCTTAACATCCTACAAAATGATTTTAAATTATTGTCATATGCATTTATCTTCACCCTGATGAGAACTCAGACGTGATAAGTTCGTGGCTCCCTATCCTGGTAGGAGCTAGTGTGGTAGCTACCTGCCTTCTCCTCCTTCGACAGAGCTATAGGACTGCCCACCCAGAATCTTTAGGTAAATGAGGTAAGTCCTGGGTTTTCAATCTTCTTTTGAGCCTGGAATTCAAACACCTGCATGGAAAGAGAAGCCTGTCTTGACTCAGACAGGTGAAAATAACCCAGAGGCTCCGGAAGGCAGCTGCCAGGAAGTAAAGCTTGTGTTACCTGGCCTTACCTACTGAATCTTGTTCGAGCTTATTTGGGTGAGAGCAGCTGGGCTACTGTGAGTGTTATCTGTGAATTTCCTACATTGTCTGGACTTCCAATCAGAAAGGGTCTAAGAGTCCCCTGGTTTCTGTCTGTCCATGTGTTATGACAAAGCTGTATCCCTGGGTTAGATTTTTCTAGAACAAAAAGCAGATGGAGACCGGTGATTCAGATGTCGCTCAGTGATGACCTGGTTGGCTAAAGGCTGGTAGGGCTCAGAGAGTATGGTCTCACAGTCTAGAGGTGACTTCGCTGCTATTTTTTTTCTGACTTACAAGCAGTAAGGAAAAGCCAATTTACCTTCAGTGTATTTCAGTTTGGGAAAATGGCTGTACATAGGCAAAACAACCTATGTTCACAAAGGGAACAGTAATCAGGTGGTCAAGGTAGGCAGACTGTAGCCTTAAAAATGATCCTGCACAGAAAGAAGTAAATGATTTTCCCATATCACAAGGGAACAGACCAACCCTTTGTTTTTCCACAATGGGGATACTATGACCAGATAGGCAGACATGACTCACCAGCAACAAATGCCTTCAATATAGGGACTCTTTTGATTTTGTTTGTACACCATGAACAAGTGTTGGGCCCGGTGTGGATCGAGCAGAGAAAAGCGGAGGAATGAATCTTGATGGTTTACAAGAGCACCAATGTAGCAAAGTCACATTTTTTTAAATGTCTGCTTTGGGACTCTCTGAGTGTTGCTGTGGTTGACACATCTTTAAAATGAAGTATACGATTCTCTGAGTTTGAGTCCTCACGTGCCTCTCCTGTTTCTCTGTGTTGACCTCAGGGAGAACGGGGGAGTTTGGAGTCTGAGATTTCTGGTGAAAGCAGGAATTGGTGTGAGGATGCATCGAGACCGCATCCTTCAAAGTATGAGGGGAAGTTAGGGATCAGGAATAGCTGTGTGCTACTTCCGCCGAGGTCCAGAGAAGAGTCAATTTCTAGCAGAAGAGAAACAGGTGTGTTATCAGAAGAATTTCACAGTCAAGGATGGGATTAGAACATGGAGCCATGTGGGACTGAGTACTGCTGCATCATGGGCCCATGGTATTTAATAACTGTAATGTAAGAGTTATTTGGAAGTTTGTAACCACATTTAAACACTACCAAATATCATGAGTATTATCTTCCATGTTTCTAGATTGTTCAGCAGACAGTCTGAAAGAGAGCAATCTTGAGGTAGCTACTATGAGTTATATGACTACTCAAAACATCCTTATTTAGGACCCCTTAGTAGTGTGGGTATGGAAGTATGCTGGACCCAGGTTTCATTTATGCAAAAGGTCTCCGAGTTGATAACATTTTTTTGTTGTGTGTGTTAAAAAATATTACCTATATCCATGCAAGCTTATATGTTACTATATTGTGACTTCTCATGGAACAAGCTTCAATCACATTCGTGATTCCATATTTGTGGGTATCTCAAGGGTTTCCCATTCATCCTCTTTCAATTCCCATTTGACTCCTTTGAAGGACTGAGACAAAAATGGAAACTGAGAGTTCAGCTATGTTCTTAGTGACATTCTGATAGCTAGCTGGGATCACCAGGTCAGAAGGTGAATGCTTCCAGGCCATGTTCGGCTCTAAGGAAGTGGGATTGCACTCTCTGGAGTCGTCCTAGGGTTTATTTCCGTCTTGTCGTAGCCCCTTTGTCTCCAGGGGGGGGCATGAGGACTGAGCTGTGTTCATTAGACGTTCTTGAATTTTTAACTAAGTCAGAGAATCTTACTCCATATAGCACCGTCACACACAGTTGTGGAGGCTCACACAAGAGCTCACTCAGTCTCCTCTCCTTTCAGATAGAGGCATTCTCTAGGGTTTTTTCAAACAGATATGGTATTTGAAGACATCTGGGAGGTGAGGCGGGCAGGGTACCAAAACACTGAAACAGAGCCTGTCAACACACAGTACCACGGTTCGAAGGAGCCTAATATGAACCCCGAACCTGAATTTCAGTGCCTCCATTTCGCTGGTGTTTTAAACGATTTCTCTTGTTCAGCACTGGCTCTCCTCTTTCGTGGAGGTGAAGCAACAGGCAACAGACTTTTCTGTTATGGGTGGGGCCCTGGTTGGGGAGCATTGGCTTGGCGTTTCAAGACCACACACCCTGACCCTGCTTCGGTTACTGTTTAACCGAGCACAGAGCAGTGGCTTTCAGTTTGGGTAAGCTAAATCTATAGTGGGGGGGTCTTCCTCAGAGCAGTGAGGCAGGAGGCTGCCACACTGCCCAACTTTTCTTAATTCGATTCCCAACAGCTGGTAGGAGAGGGTGGGTAGTTCACTTTGACATTTCACATCACTTTATAAAATGATTTTAAGTGGTAGAATTTGTTCTAAGCAGACATTTTTGCTTTTACTAAAATTTGTGAATTTTTTTTAAAATACTGGTTGGAACTTTCAAGGACCAGAGTATGAAGATATGTAGGAAATCAGTGACAGCAATGCTGTGGGGAGAGTAGCTGCTCCTGACGCTTATCTTAGGATGGGTGTGTTTTCTAGCAAATGGCACCAGAGTGAGGAAAACAGGATGCTCTGGAGCAGACATTCTATCAGTCCTTTGGAGTCAGTTGATGAACACTTTACTGCCTTTTGATGGGAACAAAGATTATTTAAGGATCGTCCCTGGAGGCTGACTGGCGTTGTCTTTGGAGTAATCAGAGCACAGTGCTGGGAAGGCAGTTGGTGGGACAGTGATCGGCATGGCAGCCAGGAGACCTGGCCAGTTTGGGAGGCTCAGAGCAATACACTGCATCTCTCTGGGTTTAGTGTCCTCTTTTATACATCCTGAATGCCTTTAAGATATATTTGAACTCACAGATTCTGCTGGCTGTGGTGGCCAAGGTAGATGAAACAACCATGCCGAGCGTCAGCAGGATTTTAGTCTATGGGAACATAGACAGGGGCGACAGATGCCCCCGAGACAGAAAGACCACTGGGGGTCCTTAAGTGTCTCCCTTAGGCTCTTCAGAAGTAGGGCTAAGAATAGGCTGGTGAAGAATGGAACTGGCAGCCTTCTTTGGTGGTAGTGGTGTCTCAGCAGCCAATTGCCCATGGCATCCCGTCTTAATCCATAGGTCCAGAGCCAGTGAGATAGCAGAACTGGGCATCTTGTGATGACAGGCAGCAGGTGATGTGAAACAGCCCTTGAGGAAGCACAAGAGCTACCTCTGGGTCAGCCGGGGGTGAGACTTCCCACCTGGCATGCACTCGGCCTGGGCTGCCCTGATTTGTCTGTGGGTGACTGGGCAGATGAGAAGGATGTGGACCCTGTCCTCGAGGATGACTCGATGGTAATCTTGTGGGCAACAGGGCTAGTTGGGCTCACCTGGGGCCTGTGCTGTTTCCAGATAGCTCAGCTCTGTATCTAAAGCAGTCAGAGCTTACAACAGGGTCAAGCACGGTGTCCCACTTAAAGAGGCTTCTAGGGTATTAATTGACTTAGTTTTAAAAGAGACATCCTGTAAAATGCTCCTTTGAAAATGATTTCACTAGCACCTAACCACAGTGTGTCGTTGGTTTGTCGTTCGAGGCTGGGCTTCTTATCACCTGGCTTTACTTGTATCAACTCTCCCGATCTCTCACTTATTTCTCAGCGTTATAATCATTGCTAAGGGTTTTTGATCATTTATTTAAATTATGATGTGTATAGATGCACCCAAAACATGATTTCGGATGGCATAAGCCTAAAATAAAAAAGGGTCAAGGAGCAAAGCAGATAATTGTGTGCCTGTTAAGGGAACCAAACATTCCATTAACTCAACTATTTCACTATGAAAACGTAGCTTGAATAACCTTGTCTAGATGCACGCTTTCTTTGATGTAACTGTGGTGAAGTCAAGGTGGCCTTCCAGCTGCTTCTTGCTCTCCTTGTGTCACAGACTCACAATAAACAGTCTTTGGGACTGGGATCTTCTGCCAGGTATGGATCTGAGAAACTTTAGTCACTAATAACCTCTTTCCCCGACCTGATACCAGCTTAACTCTGATGAGCCTTTCTCAGAATAAAGAGGTTATTCTTCATTATGACGACAGAGTCTGGTGAACATGGTCATTGTACAGAGTTTGCCCTGGAATTTCTTGGGAGCCTTTGACAAGCTTCCCTTAGTAGGGTTGCTGTTACAGTCTTGAGGAGAGATGAAGGGAGAGTTATTATCAGTTCTGCCTTCCCCAAGACTGCTGACCAGACTTGTTTTGGTTTTGTGTGGGCTGCAGATTTGGCCTGAAAATTAGCCTATGCCTAACTTTGTTCTTTTTAAGAAATTAAAGAGCAGCCAATTGAGATTCTGCTACCTTCCCTCCACTGGCTAGAGGCTGTGTGGAAGATCACAAACGAAGAGTAGATTTTGACTGTCTGAAGGGGCAGGCAGCATTGAGCTGTCATGACTAGGCACGGGTTTTGCTGGGATGTGGTAAGATAAACACTGGATGGAAAGTCAGCGTACCCGACTTTAAATTGGATACTGCCACTGGCTAGTTGAGTGATTTGGGGGGAGATTCTGTAAACCTTAGTATCCAAGTCTCTTTATTCAGAAAATGGGTGGATAACATCTACTATGCAGGGTCAATAAGTATTAAATTAAGCAAAGAACATGAGCACTCAGACAATGCTCATGAGTAATTCATAGTAGTAATTTGTAAACTGGAAGGCAAGAAGTATTCAGTCTGGGCGTTTTCTCTCCATCTCCACTGAGTTGGAGCAGATGAGTATTAAATTCTGTTTTTTCAAATTATTATGATTCTTTTCCTGTCATGCCAGCTTGCATTCTAAACTCTGACTCTGGGGAAGAAACTGATACTTAATTTTTACTGGAG